ATAAACTTCTCTTCTTTTCTCCCCCCGCCCCAGACTCAATTATATAGCGTTGAACGTGAAAAGCAATTTTTAACCCTAACCTCATCCCTTTCACACTAAAACTATTTATTTTTCACTTGCAATTGTTTCCCAGAAGTAAATCAAGTGGACAATTAGTGAAGTGTTTTATTTTCGAGTAAAATAAGACCGTTTTTCTTTTCTACAATTGTTCCTTCTCGATTTATGTAAATTGCTTAAGACCCATGTGGCTCAAGGTAAATGTAACGACCCGACTTATTGTGAAAATGACAAACAATTTGCTTATTTCTTCTTAACATTTCTACTATTTGGAAATAAAAAAATTAGACACTTCTATACATATTTATAATTGGTAATAAAATTATGTTGATATCATTCGAATCGGAATAAAAAAAGCTTACTTAACAGCAGCATGTGATTTTTACAGAATTCAATGTTAATTTTTTCGACTACTTTTCTCTTAAAATATTAAATAAATTAAGCTAGTTTTTTGTGAATAACTCTAAAATATCATAAAGAAGGGCAGTGATGTGAAAAAGTTTTAATATTTTGAAAATTATTTATTAAAAAATAACTTTAAAATTATCAGTTCTCAAAATCACTTTTAATCAATTTCTCGTCTTTTCCGATTTCAAAGTATTTTTATATAATTTATTTTAGAATTATTAAAACTTTTGCACATCACTGCTCTTCTTTATTATATTTTAGAGTTATTCACAAAAAACTAGCTTAATTTATTTAATATTTTAAGAGAAAAGTGGTCGAAAAAATTAACATTGATTTCTGTAACAGTCACATGCTGTTAAACTCCGATTTATTAGTGTAGGACCACTTGAAAAATATAGATATTTGAATTCTGAAAAGATAAAAAAGAAAGATGAATATTACTACCTATAGTTTTAATAAAGATGGAAAATAAATCACAATAGACAAAACGGAACTTAAAAAGAGATATTTAGAAATGAGGGTAAAAAGTTAAAGGACCGCAATTACAATAGATTTTTCACGTCAATTTTTTCATCTCCTATTTCAAGAAGATCGATGCTAATTTTCGAGCGTGAAATCAGAAAGCAACTCTGTTAGACATAAGACGTAATGAGGCGCTCAAAACGCAAAGCATATAACTCTGTGGTGTTTCACATACACATTTATATTAAGAGAATAAAAGTGTAAACGATCGAAAAAGTCGTTAACTGCTTGGAAATCGGTAATCGCCGAGAATAATTGACTCCTCTTTATAACTGACCATGTTTTTATATAAGATGTCTAGAAAACAAGAAAAACCTTTCTTCAGGGAGAGAAAAAGAAGCACATTAATATAAAAAATGAATGCCCATTAGAAAAGAGGTTCCACTGAATTATCACCTTTCCTTTCAATAACAAGAAAAAGTCTTGATATTATCAAATGATCAAGTTAAACAATAAAATTAGATAATAAAGCATCAAAAATTAATAATATCTTAAATTTTATACACGGAAAAAGTAGGATCAAGAATTATTACTGAATTTATTCAAAAACTGAGGATATAGGAGAAGTTGGAGAATATATTTAGGAGAAAAATTCGAAAATCAAATTTAGAGAGTAAACAATAAACATAAACTATTGTAAATCCATAAGTGAATAAATCTAAACTACATATGAGAATGCCAAAAATATTAAATCTTAAATTATAGATTTAGAAAGAAATGATGAAGTTGAAATATAAAGCTTAACTTTAAATAAGTAATAATACCAATCAAACAAAATAATTAAAAAATTAAATTCTTTAAATAATTAACACATTATTATTATCTGGGACATTTAAATATAGAAGTGAACGCATCGTCACGACATGGACAAATTACATATTCATTAAATTTCTTTAAACAAATAATAATAATGATTTTTTTAAACTTTGAAGGCCTAATGTTAGCATTCTTCATAATTTAATCAGATCCGATGAAAAATAAATCGAAAATTTCGAATAAAACGGTCCGAAAAAAGTGATTTCATCATATATAAGGTTTTTGGGGTCGCTGAATTCGAATTTGAGGTCAGTTATTCAAAATGGCGAATGATTTTAAAATTGATGCGTATCGACCAAAATTCATTTCTCGGGAGTTTTTGGGGTCACTAATTACAAATCTGATGTTAGATTTTGAAAATTCAAAATGGCGGATCCAATATGGCGACCAAATTTTTTATAAGTTGACGGATTTTTCTAAAAACATTTGCTTAGGAGTTTTTAAAGAATTTAATATGAAATTGAAAATTGTAAAAAAAATTCTAATTATTGAACCGTACGCTACACTTCTGATTAGTTATATGGGACAAAATTCCTCAACTGCCCAGGTCAAAAAATGAAATTTTTCTAAACTTTGATAAAATGTTACTACTACATATTAGTAGAAGTGTAAAAATAAATTTTTTTTTAATTTGATAAAATATTTTTTGAGTTATGGAGATTCAAAATTTTGATCTTTTTGAAAATATCTTTTTTTCGATTTGATATATTGATAAGTAAAATTAATCAAATTTAAAGTATGAATAGTGATTTTTAAAGGGGTTTTCAGGAGCTATAACTTGGTAATGAAAAAAAGTTTTTTCTTTCAATTTGACCTTGAAATTCAAGGTCAAATTCTTCATTTCAACATATCTCAAAATCGGTGTTTTTTATTTTTTTCTAATCTATCCCAGTCGAAAGCTTCCCTTTCTTCCTATGAGCCATGTAAAAATTGGAGTGGGACAATGAAAATTTTTGAAGAAAATAATAATTTATCATTATTTTATATAGAAAATGATGATTTATAATTAATTTCTTCAAAAATTTCCATGGTCTCACTCTAATTTTTACATGGCTCATAGGAAGAAAGGGAAGCTTTCGAATGGGATAGGTTAGAAAAAATAAAATGTAAAAAGGTTTTTAAAATTTTATAAATTTATAATAAAATAAGCGAGAAACAAATGTTGAATTTTGATTTTTGGGTAAAATTAACGATAATATGATAAAAATTAATCAAATTTAAGTACCTTTGAACTGAAGTAAAAAATGTGTATATAAAATTACTTAACCCATTAGAAGGTATTATTTTATTGTATAATGCTTTTGTTAAAAATTTTAAGCAAATATATCCTGATGTATATGGGGCATTCCAGGCCAAATCGGAAATTATTTTGCTTTTGCATCTCAAATTTTTTTTAAACATTTTTTTTCTTTTAGTACTTTTTGAAATGAGCTACCTTGATTTTTCCAAATTTTTTCATAAAGCGGTTCAGGAGATACAGATTTTTGATTTTTAATGCTTATAACTCGGTCAAAAATTGATCAAATTGGACGTTTTTATAATGAAAAGTTTTGTTTTCACGCATAGTTTTTAATAAAAATATTTTTAAAAATTTTTAAATAATTTACGATGAGATTTTAAAATTTTTTAAATAAAATTTCATTTTTAACAATGTATGTATCGATTAATTTTTTCAAAATTTTTTGTAAGAAACTAGTACTAAATTAACAATTTTTAAGCCTTGTCCGATCGTGGGCAAACGATAGGATCTATTTATTTTGAAATTTTTAATTTTTATATACGCAGTGGTGGCCAAATGACTAACTTGCCATTTGACAAAATCACACAAAATTTTCACAGCAAATGTATTTTCAGATTGAGTCTCTCCAAACTTAACCTTCTTTCTGTGTAAAATTGTGATTTGGTCAAATGACAAGTTAGGCCTACCATTTTGCACTGTGTATATAAAAATTAAAATTTTTAAAATAAATAGATCCCATCGTTTGCCCACAATTGTACAAGGCTTAAGAATTGTTAATTTAGTGCTAGTTTCTTACAAAAAATTTTGAAAAAAATTGATCGATACATACCTTATTAAAAATGAAATTTTATTTTAAAAATTTTTAAGTTTATCGTAAATTATTTAAAAAATTTTTAAAATATTTTTATTAAAAACAACGCGTGAAAACAAAACTTTTCATTATAAAAACGTCCAATTTGATCAATTTTTGACCGAGTTATAAGCATTTAAAAAAAATTCACGTAAAAAACGTCATTTTTCAAAAATCTGTATCTCCTGAACCACTTTATGAAAAAATTTGAAAAAAATCAAGGTAGCTCATTTCAAAGAGTACTAAAAGAAAAAAAATGTTTAAATAAAATTTGAGATGCAAAAGCAAAATAATTTCCGACTTGGCCTGGAATGCCCCATATGTATCTAAATTGCAAAATATAAAATACAAATTATCACAAGCATATTCATATAGACAGATTTTAAGATTCTCCTTATATTTATTTTTACAATTTAGATTAGTTATTGTAAAATAAATATAAAGCATTTTACCAATATTAAGTATATTTTAATAAAAAGAAAATTTATTTTCTTAATATAAGGAGAAAGGTAAACAGTTATGAAATTGTAAATTTAGTATAATATTAGTTAAATATTTAATATCGTATTTAATAGAGAATTTTAAAGTAGTAAAATCGTTTTTCTGCAAGGGAAAAAAAGAACGGTAGATTGTGTATGAACGTCACGATTATATATGTCACGTCAACAGACACTACTAAAAAAATCGTTAGTTTATAACTGATTAAATAAAGCACAGCTTATTTATTAATCTGAAAAACTCTTTTGTGTCAAGCCTATAAGTGTTGTGTATTTTTGAGGAAATCTGGATAATTTATAGATAAATCTTTAATAACTGGGACAAACTTAAAGTTCAAAAGGAACAGTTCTTTTTGCGGTTTCCAATTCTTCAACTTTTGCAAAAATGGAATTTCTATATTTTTTTTTGCTCTTGTCTTTATGTATCATCGTTCTTGTAAACGGCCAGCTGACTTGGATCAAAAGAAATGTTAGTTCTCTAAAATTTAACGTAGTATGCGAATTTGAATAAAATCTTACGAAAAGTTTACAACATGCCTGCGATGTTACAATTTTCTTAGTTTATTAAAATTTAGATTACCTAAATTTACAAAAAAATTGTTTTATTTAGAGAAAATTAAAGGATAATGCAAATGACGATTTAACAATGGTGCCATCAATTTTGAGAAAATACATAGAAGAAATTGAAGAACGTGAAATGGAATACAGGACATTGTATTTAGAAAGAGGAGAGTTAAAAGAAATAACATTGTTGTATAATATTTGTAATAATGACTTAAATGCGGATATATCGGCATTTTCCATTTCGGCAATTACCTCAGCAGTTAAATTATTTCTTCGGTAAATTTAATTAATTCCATTTATTAAGAATTTTTATTTAATGATATAAGAACAACTGAGAGAAATCACAGTAAAACATGCCTTTTTTCTCAAAATCACCTTAACTTAATAAAAAAATGTTTTTTTTTAATGTATAGAGAATATTTTAAGAAGAAACTTATTGATGAAGAAATGAGAGACAATTTTTTGAGTGCTTTTGAAATACAGGATAAACGTAAATCAGAAACAAAAATGAAAATTATAATTTCACGCCTTCCACAATTAAATTGTGCTACTCTGGCTTATATGATTATACATTTAAAAAAGGTTCTAAACCAAGAGACAAATCGATTAACTCATTCAATGTATGCTACAATTTTTGCTCCAATTTTTATTAACCATAAAGTTCATCTCTACGAAAACACTATAAATACAAATTCAATGATCATCGAGCATTTGAAGTTTAAGGAAAAGTTAAAAACAGTAAATATAATAGTTCATTTTTAATTTGAAAATTCATATATATATATATATATATATATATATAATTAATAACTATTAACAAATTAGGTATATTTTAATAATAATACAAAATTTTCTCAAGATTTTATAAAATAATATTTTTGCAGATTATTCAAATATTTTTAAGTTTTCCAATCAGTTATTGGGAAATTATGATAAATAATCCTTATTCAACTGTGAGTGTATAAAAAAACTATATTTATACTGTTTTTCGATTAAATTTATGAGATACTTTTATTCTTAATTTCTGTCTTTTTAGAGGAAAAAATATCATAAAAAAATTAGTGGTTTTGAGAGAGATTAAATTTTTCTTCAACAAAACTACTTTAAAATTCATCAAAGATCCGAAGTCATGACGTCAATAACAAAAATGATGATCGACAACAGAATGAAATTTTATCAAACACATTCTAAATATTTAATATATTGTTATGTAAAATAAATTACATAAATGTCTAGTTTTTACTCACGTCTAAAATGCACGTGTGTCAATAAAATAATAATTGTTTTCAAATGGAGCAATATTTCTTACATTTTATTAAATTATTAAAAATATTCACTCTAAAGATTTGATTAAATTTTTAAGTGAAAATGTATATGACCTTTCTTTTAGGCATTGTTAAAAATTTTTTATTTTTTTCAAAATTCAAAAAAGTGGCTAAAATATTTCAAATTTTTTATGGAAGGAAAATCAATTGCAGACATATATCCTTATAAAAAATGGTTGAACTCAATATTTTCATGATTTATAATAAAATAATATTTGAAATTGGAAAATTAGAAAATCAAAGAAAAATTACGCTTAACAAATAAATTTTGATCTTTATACACTTTTTTATAACAAACATTGTTTGAATGATCTAAATTATGCAAAATTTTTTACTTTTTATTTATAAAAATATTAGAAAATTGTTAATTGTTAAAAAATTATGATTAAGAAATAAAAGAAATATATCCAATTTATGCATACATAATTTTTATTTCTTAATACATAACAATATTGTTCACAAACTCATTATTTTCTTTTGGAAAAAAACATTACATATTCCCGTTTCTTAATATTTTTGTAGAAAATTCTCAATTTTCATAAAAAATTAATTTGCATCATTTCTATTTCTTAATTACAATTTATTTGATAAAATTTTTAAATTTTTAGAAAATAAAGGAAAACGTTTTACTCAAAAAAATTTGTGTTACATTTATTTTTTTGAATAAATATTTAATTATTATTATTTTTCCATAGGAATTAAGATTTTTAAAAATGTCAAATTCAAACCTATTTGAAATTAAATTATTACTGTAACTTCTTAAAAATTATTTTCATAATTTCAATTCAATTATTATTTTCTAAAATTTTTAACTAAAATTCTTCTGTAAATCAACTATTTTTAATAATTTTTGAAAAAGTTCTTTGAGAATTTTCAAATACATTTGTTTAAAATTCAATTTTACGAAATTTCGAGTATTCGGAAATTCTTCAATTAATTGCACTGTAAGAAAAATATTGGAAATTATCCCAAAAAATTTTAGGAAGAAAATTCAGCTAATTATTTAGAAAAATTTACTAACATAGATAAGAGAATTTTTCTAAAAAATTATCGAAAACTTTCTATGAATTTAGAAACATTCTCATATGAAATAGAGTAGAAAAAATTCCAAAAGTTTGAAAAAATTCTCTTAAACGTTTAGGAAAATTTCCTTATGAAAATATAGGAAAATTGTTGAGAATTTTGAAAAATTCATATATTTGGAAAAATTTCCATTTAACATCTATTTAAGTTCAAATTATTTACAAAAAAAAATTAAATTAAACTTTTTCAAAAAAATGAATTCTTCAAAATTAATTGAATTATTGATAAGAAATTTATAAAAAAAAATTGGTTAATAATATTGAATTCCTGTGCAATTTTTATTATTTATGAAAATAATTTGTAAATGTTTGAGTACAATTTTATTAAAAAATTGAATTCTGTTAGGAAATTCATTAAAATAGTAGATATTGAAAATCATTAAAATCAGTATAAATTTTTAAAATAATTGAATTTTGGAGAAGAATTTTGTTATTTATAAAGATAAATGTGATTTTGATGAGAATTTTTTTTAAATTTTAAACATAATTGAACTTTTGTAAGAAGAATTTTATTAATTTTAAAAATAATTGTATTTCTGCAATCATTTGTAACTTCTCCAAAATTTAATTTTTAAAAATATTTTTAACTAAAATTTTTCCATAAATCCATTATTTTTAACAAATTAATTAAATATATATTGACAAATTTAACTAATTCCAAGAAGAATTTTAATTATTAACATTTTGCAAAAATCTAAATTTTTTAAAATTTTTAATTTAATTCATTCAAAATTAAAATTTTATAAAATTTTAAATTAAAGCCTTTTGAAATTTATCTATTTATGAAAATTGTAAACTCAATTTTTTTAAAAGTCAATTAATATGGAAATATTTAAGTAAAATTATTCATTAATTAATTTATAAGCAATATAATTGTATGATAGTTTTTGAAGAATAAAGTTATTTAAAAAAACTAACTGTCAGAAATAGAAAAATTTGAAAAAGTTTTGTATTACAATTCGTGGTGATTTCATAGCAAAAAAGACACCAAAATTCAGAATTTTTGTATATGAATTCTAAAAATTTAATTTTTTCCGGTACTTTTAATAAAAATGTCTGACTTTTTCTTGAATCCCCTGTCTCAGATTATATTTATTATTGTGGTTATAATAGTAATAATCTATATTCCAATTCATATTTTTTATTTTTATGAAAGTAAATTTGAATTAAAAATTTTTAAATTTTATTTTTTTAAAATTGTTAATTTTATTTTAAAAAAGTATGTAATAATTGTTGCTAGTTGACTAATGTTTAACAATATTTTAAACAATTTTTATAAACAAATCCGTTTTATTTTTATAGTTGCAATGAATGCTGAAGATAAAAATAATTTAAAATTATTATTTAACAATATAATAAACAATTTTATAAACAAAATAAGAATTGACAACAATTGAAGCGGAAAAAAATAGTTTTTTCTTCAACAGAAATTTTTAGTGTTTTCTTAAGGGCATTCGGGAGAAAATAGTGGTTTCGTATTGTTTTTCTCGTTTAAAAACAAAAGAATATTTTAGGTTGGGATTTTTTCAAACATTTTTTTGGAAATATAAGATGAAGGTACTCTATGAAATTATTTAATTTTACGATCTCTGGCTTGTTGATTAAAAAGATTTTTTTTGGTACCTAATTTTGATCGTTAACTTTAACACTTAATGACTTAATTAATTAAAATTGTGTGTACTTAAGTGAAAAAAAATTAAAAAGGAAAATATTGCTTATGTCATAATAATAATTATTTTCAAAACGATATAAATTAAATTTCCAGTCTATAAAGCCCATTATTTGAAAATTAAAAAAATATAATATTTGGGTGGGAAAAAAAACTTTGTCGAATTTTGACGAGTACATTATAGAGAAACATTAAGTCGAATATTTCAGTTCCACAGCATGAACGATTCCAAGGGCACTTGCTGTGCACGTCATCTATCTCTTGAGCGTGTGACGGAGAAAGAAGGCATAATTAAATTAGATTAAACCTCTCGAGAGTATAAGGTGGAACAAGAGGGTGGGGAGAACTTGGGGGAACATTGACTGCAATTCATCCTCAAGAGTTGCTCCGGCTTTATTTGCAAGTAATTCGCGCGAATGGAAGAAAAAAGGAAAAAAAATTTGAAAATAATGTCCAGTTATTAATCATATTCCTTGGCACCCTTGACTGACGCTCATGGCAAAAACCCCCCTCTCTTTAACCATACACCACAATATTTTGCATTACGGGAGTAAATATATGCACGCGCATATGTGCATGACCGCAAGTAATTACCTCGCATAGAGTCATTTTGCATAGTTGCTTAAAATTAAGTCTCTTATAAAAGCATTTTTATAATCTTCGGGATATATGAAGAAAATTTAAATTACCACAAGGGCCTATAATTTTCGACATATGTAAATAAATTTTTTTCTGGAAAATATCACTCGAAATAAAATGCATTTAATCATGATACAAATAATAAATAGAATGTTTTGACTATATAATAACAATCCTTGTCATTTCAACAAAATCGGCTTTAATGATAGAAAGTCCGAAGGGACTACAAATCGTATCATTTTCAAAAAAAACTTTGAAGATGGCAGAAACCATGGCCTAAAACCTAAAAATTTTTATATTTCGATAATTTCCAAAATATCTAGCAAATTATGACCGAAGGCAAAAATAGTGTAGGGCCAAAGAATGTGACTATATAGCAGGGCTCGAGCCAGCAAAAGTATTTAAAAACACGGACCAGGATGGCCACTTTTTTCATAAAAAAAAAATTCACGGTCATTTCCCGGTCATAAAGAATAACTCTAAAAATAAATTATTCCATGAAAGATTGAAAGAATTCCCTGATTTTTAGACAAAACTTTAACTTTTTCCCAAACCCAAAAAATATTTTAGTTTAGTCTAAAAATAATTGAAACTCCAATATATGTTTATAATACATTTTTTTAAATATCTTTAACTGCAAAATAACTTTTGTTTTCCTCATTGCAAAATAAAATCAGTTTCTATACCTTTCGACAATTTACTCCTCAACACATTTCTAGAAAAACATTTAGTTTAAACATAATTAATATTTAATTATGAAACTTCAAAGCCAGAAAAAACTCGAAAAAGTGAGGTTATGTTAAATAAAAAAATCAAGTTTTCAAAACATTTTTTGTTCCACTGCTGGTTAATGACAAAATTATATTATAAATATAATTAAAATGAATTGTTTAATGATTTTTTTGCTCATTTGTTAATGTAACATTATTTTTACTTGTCAAATGGAATTCCTTCGAAGATGTGCATTCGTGTAATTAATTTTTATTTTTGAGACCGAAAATTAATTTTATTAATTTTATAATTTAGAATAATTTACTACATATTTGTAAGTTTGTGTTAAAACTAAATTTTTGTTGATTCCTTTGAATTTATTTAATTTTGCTCTGTTATCATTTAAGGCGATTCTACAATCCCTAATTTTTTTACACTCGATTAATTTATTAAAATAAACATAAAGCACTATTTATTTTACATATTTTGAATTTTTGAATTTAGCTTTTATGGGACCGTATCTTATACATTAAAAGATTAATTTATTTAGCACTTCATTATATAATATTACCTAATTATTATTATTATTAATTAAATTATTTGATCTTCCGCCTAATAATTAAATTAATAATCATAAAAAAATATCATTTAATTTGAATTTAAATCTTCCGCCTAATTCAGGCCGGCTGCTTCAATGACTGTAGCTCCATCTCTTACGTATATGTGAATTTTTAAGGCACTACAATTTCATTTGGAAACGTGAGTTCGCCCTTGTATTCATATTACCGATGCTTATTCTTTTCGATACTTTTCGATTTACACTTTCGAGTGCATTCGATTCTTTTAGCCCATGTCTTTTTTTAGAAAGGATTTTGAGGGTTTAATATATTTAAAATATTTTCGCCAGATTTTAAACACAAATTTTCAGGTTTTAAATTATTTTTGTCATTAGACATGTTTTTTAAATATATTTTGATTTTAACTATGTTTAAAATCTACAAGTTTTCGGATTTTTAGTGTTTTTATCGTTCGCCATGGTTTCCTAGATTGTGACCATAATAGTCAAAACATAGAAATTTTCGAATTTAAACTATTGTTTTATCGTTGGTCATGTTAGAACTCATATATAAATGTTGAAAATTATCAACACAATATATTTTTCTTACATAAAAGTGAATAACAAGGAGGGGGAAAGCAGAATTAGAGTTTGAAAATATTGAAAAAATGCGTGACATAAACTAATTATTGGAATTTAATTTACAAATTGATACCGTCATATTTGATTTTATAAATTCTTAATTAACGATTAAAATACAAATTTGGTATTTTATTTTAATATTCAATAGATATTTTTGCAATTTCCATAAAATATCGAAATATAAAAATAATAAAAAAAATTTTTTTATTTTATAAAAATATGAGTTTTCATGTCATTCTATAATTTAAAGAAATCAAATCCAATTAATCTCGAACTGAAAAGCATTCTAATCAAAATCGAGATCTCTGCTCTCCCAACTTTATATTGTTTAGAAATAACGGTAACAATAATATTGTGAAAATTTTCTCGAAATAATTGAAAAATTATCTGTGAACTAGGAAAAGTAGTTAAAAAAAATACAATTAGCTATTTTCCATTGTCCCATGAATGTGAAGCTAATCGTAAAAGCCATTTCGTTTAAAGCAATTTCTAATTCTTAAAATTATATATATATATACCATTGTAATAAAATTCTTCCGTTTGTTGACTCTTTCTTTTCATAAATATATATTTTCTCCCCTTCAATAATGAAATATTACATACTCAATTTATTTACACATAAATCAATGATTTGTATAATTTTAGAAATCAAAATAGGTACTAGAATTCTAGAATTTAAAATAGAAATCGTTTTTCATTATTTGCAGTAGAAAGACATTTTTCGGATTTTTTAAATTTTCATCGAGATGAAAAAAAAATTAGACTTCTTTCAGTGTATAAATATTATAAAAACATGTACCCAGAAAATTTGATGAAGTAAATTTAAGATTTTCTTGATTTTTTAGTAGGTGGCAGTCCGCTGTCGAATTCGGATGTATTGAGCATTCGGACTTTCTTTAAAGATCCAGTTTTAGTGCCAATTCCTCCAGTTTGCTTCCTTTGCGGCATCCTTGCAGGCCTGAAAAGCAAAAAACCTTACTTAATCATCACATTAAGGTAACCCGCAATTTTTGGTAATTTCTCGCAAACAACTTGTGTCCAGGAACATGTGAAGACATGTTAATTAAAATTTGACAAAAAAAATTATTCCCTCTAAATAGTCCCCATTGCAGTAAAATATCACTCGAGACTACCAACTGGCGTGCCGAATTCTTTATTGCCTTAGGTAATTTTTTTTTAATAATTATTCCTCAATCTCAATATTATCAAATTTTTATAAAAATCGTATTTACGAGATTTACAAAACAAAACTTAATAGAAATGTTTATTTAATAAATTTTAAAATTTTAAGAAGTCTCACTCGACCGAGAAACAGGAAAATGTCAGAAAATTTTGATCTTGACCAAAAGTTTTAAAATTTTTTATTAAAAAATATTTTTTTTTTAAAACACACCGACTATTTTGTGAGAAAAATAGAAATATTTATATTAAGACTTATTAATTATATTTCATTAAAAGATATTGAATGATCTTGTATAAAAAATCGTTTTCTTTTGTCGGGGAATTTTATCAAAAGTACTATAAAAATATTCAATTTCTGGAATTTACAAGAAAATTATAAATTTTGTTGTCCAACTTAAGACTTAAAAAAAAATTTATAAATTTTTTTTGCAATAATATTATTACAAAACAAATTTAAATTATAAAAACTTTGAACTAATTAAATCAAAAGTAATACGAAATTTCTAAGAATTTATTTTTAGATTCTAAATAGAACGAGACATTAAAATAAATAAATGTCTTCAAAAATTTTTATTAGAGCTTTTATGAATAATTAAAATCTTTTGAGTATTTTCTTTTTTGAAAATAATGTCTTTTTAATACTTTTAATGAAAAATTTGGAAAATAATTGAATTAAACAAAGAATTTTTTCAATACTTTAAAATAATCTTGTCTGTTCATACATAATTATAATTGAAAATTTAATTGATTCAAGTTTATTAAAATGTAATGATACTAATTGAATTTCTGCAAATAATTTTACTACTTATAACAGTAATTGAATCCTTCAAAGAAAATGTTATTATTTATGAAAATTATTAAATGTTTACGTAGAATTTTATTAAAATTTTTGAAAATAATTTGAATTGTTGAGAACAATTTAATTATTTATAAAGATAATTGATATTTTGAGAAGAATTAAAGAAAATGTTTAAACAAAATTGATTTTTTGCGAACAATTTTATAACTTTTAAAAATAATTGAATTTTTTTTTAGAATTTTATGGAAATTTATGAAAATAATTGAATTCTTGTGAAGAATTTTTTTTTTAAATAATATTCAAAAGAATTTAGTAAATCTGAAGAATTTTGCTATTTATGGAAGTAATTGAATTCTTGAGAAGAATTTTTTTACAGTATCTAGAAACAATTGAATTTTTTAGACGAATTTTAATAAAATTTTTAAAAATAATTACATTTTTTGAGGAATTTGATTAAAATTGTATTAAAAATAATTGAAATTCTGCAATGAGTTTTACTATTTATGAAAATAATTGAATATATTGCGAAGAAAATTTAAAAAATAAAATTATAATTACGGTGACTAACTTCCCTTGATTATTTTCGAAAAATGTAAATAAAATACTTTAAAAGAGTTTCATTATTTTTATTAAAAAGTAAAGAAATTTCAATTATTTAAAAAATTTTCAATTATTTGTTTATAAAAATTCAATTATCTTGAAACAATAGAATTGAAGAATTTCAAAAATCTTATTTTTCAGAATTTTCAAAAAAAACTTTGCGAAAATTCAATTTTATTAAAAAATTTTAAGTGTGTATCTTTTTTTAAATTAGCTAAACAAATTGTAATTGTTAATCTTCGCACTAAAAAACATGAATATAGTAGAATGTGACTTTTTATAAAATTCAATTATTTATCAATTATTAAATTAAAATACTTTGAAAATTCGATTTGTTAAAAAGTTTTTAATGAAATTCTTTAACAAATTTAATTATTTTTAGTTGAATTTTACAAAATTTCTATTAATTCGATAATTTTTTAAAAATTTATTTAAATAGTATATTTGAATCAGTGACTGATTTTTTACTGTCAAATTAATTATTTTTAACAAATTCAAATTTACAGAACAATATAAATATCTATAAAAATTGAAATAAAAAGCGATTTTTTAAAAACAAATTAAAATAATGATTGGTGGACAATTTTCCCAAAAAAAATTTTCCCAAAACAGTTTATCCCAAAATATTTTTTTCCCAATGCTGGATTTTCCAAAAAATAATTTTCCCAAAAAATTTTTCCAATGTTATATTTTTTTCAAAATGTATATTTATTGCCAAATTGGTAGTAAATAATCACATTCGAACGTAATGTCCAAGTGATTTTAAATACGTAACAAGTTTGAAAAATATAATAGTTTGAGTAAATTCTAGTTTGAAAAAATATTTGAATAAATTCTAGTTCGAACTAATAATTGTTCCAATAAATTTTATTTCGATAAAACAATAGTTTGAATAAATTGTGCTTTGAAAAATTATAGTTTAAGTAAATTCTATTTTAAACAAATTTTAGTTTAGAAAAATAATAGTTTGAATAAATATAAATAGTATTTTGAAAAAATTCTAATTTCAATAAATTCTATTTCGAAAAAAACAATAATTTGTTTGTTATAAAAATTGAAATAAAAAGCGATTTTTTAAAAACAAATTAAAATAGTAAAACTTTTTTTAATTTGGTGAAAAAATTCCTGGTACGGCATAAAATTCCTGGCTTATTCTCGGTCAAATTAAATTCTCGTCTATTTCCCAGATAGTAGACACCCTGCAAAAACATTTGATAGAAATGTTGGAAATATCTCAACTATATTTTAGGAATTTTTAAAAATCCGAGATATTTCATACGTTCGTTTAGAATAATATAAGAATATTCTATTAAAAGATATTGTTAAAATATTACATTGCTATTTTTAGAATATTCAAGAAAATAATGCACCTTTTCAGCTATTTCAAGGCAGAAAAGTAATGTGTTTCCTGGAAGTAATTAGGAAGAATACTTTATTATCGATTGGAATTAATGTTGCAATGAATGAGGAGTATCAATAATAATGCACCTGTATTGTCACCTGCCATGAAACAGAAAATGAAATCACACCCTATAAAAATGCAAGCACGTGCACGCAGACGTATAATATAAAGGTACGAGCTTACGCATCGACGCAAACAACCCAGTGGGCACAGGGACGTCTAAAAGACGTCTTAAAGACGTCCCTTTTTGTCCGCGGACGATTCGGGGACAATGATGGCAATGTCTCTGAGTCATCAAAAAGACAACTAAAAGACGTTCTATGTCTGGTCCAAAAGACGTCCAAAAGACGTCTAAAAGACATAAGAAAGGACGTCTAAAGTACGTCTAAAAGACGTCTTTTGGACGTCTAAAAGACATAAAAGGGACGTCTAAAAGACGTCTTTAAGACGTCTTTTGGACGTCCTTTTTACATTCCTTCAGATCTTAAATAAACATTTCTTTTATAACATTTTCTAAGTTGAAATTCAGTAACATTGTATTAAATTTATTTTAAGTTTAATTTTATTTTTTCTAAAATGTGGAGAAATAATGAAAAAATTCCTACGAAGCTGGGATCGAACTCGGATACCTTGGGCTTGAAACACTGCGCCTTAAGCACCTCAGCCGTTCAAGACAGATATGAACCTCTACAAAGTTAACGATCTCACTTGTCAATGAAATGAATTTAACTTAGAAAAATTCCAATGAATTTCACACTCATAAATTTCTAAGTCCAAGTTGAACTTAGAAAATAATATTTTCTATTTATGAAAATTTTTCTATTTTCAAATGTTGAATAAAAAAGACGTCTTTTAGACACCTTAAAGACATCTAATGGCCAAGACATAAAACATGAATAGGACGTCTTTAAGACGTCTTAAAGACGTCTTTTTGTACAAGTCCAAAAGACGTCCGCAAAAAGACATCCTTAGGACGTCTTTTGAACAAGTGTGCCCACTGGGAAAGATGTGACTGTCCACGAGAAAACGCGGCTTAGCTCCCAAACGTGAATTTCACAGGGCGAGCGATTGAAGTTAACTACGCTTGACATACCCATCTTTAAAACGATATATTGTCGAAAGTAATTGATATTTTTAACTTTTAACTTTTGCATTTGAAAAAGCAACATAAAATCTGTCGATTACCATAAAAAACTCAAAATTGATTTTATGGACCTAAAAGCCGTGTTTTCTCGTGGACAGTCACAGATGTATAACAGGTTCACATATTTGAGAGAGATCTCTACTCTCAATTTATTGGATTTATATACACTGCCCGCCTTTCACTCATTAAAAGTTACTCGGTCTCTAACTTTTTATTCTTTTTTCCACTTCTTTAAATACTTCATCCTCACGCACAAGGCATTTTTTTGCGTTATAAAAAGTATAATCATCTGCAAAGCTCAACTGAAAATCTTAGGAATTTGGTGATCAGTAAAGAGAGGGCTTTAAATTTATGAATTTGTGCCGTTACTGTAAAAAATTTTAATACTAACACTAAACATGTGTCTTCTAAATGCCTTAGAAAAAATTAGACACTACACGGAAAAAAAAGTTCCCAGATATTTCAGGAATTATTTCCTAACTCTTGGATACGTGATAACAGCTCTGAACTAGCGACGAACATTCAATGGTAATCAATGAATGTTTGAAAGAAATTCGGGAACTGTATTAGAAAAAGCTATAAATAGTCCATTAGTCTCTTTTTCATTACTTTCTCATGTAAAGTTCATGGCACTGGCCGCAACTGTTTCCGAATTTTTCGGGAACTCGTCAAGGAATCTTGGTGCGCAGAAACTGTGCGCACCAGTCTCAACAAGTCTCACCGTCAGTAAGACTTGCGTGCCTTATATATTTATTTTATGCTGAGGTATTTAACTCGCCTGTTTAGCTCAGCTGGATAAGACGCCGGACTTCTATTCTCAGGTACGCGAGT